TATAATGTACTGGACGTTGTTCTATAACATAGTTCAATCGCCTTTAACATGGCAAGCTTTAGTAACCCAATCTATTTTCATAAACCACTGTTCCATAGCTTGATGACCCTGACTCTAGTTAGTATCATTCAAAATGGTGGACAAACATCTTTCGTTCTCGGTAAACATGATGAGCTATTGGATATTATCTGTCATCCATCTGTGGAACAGTGATAAACTAGTAGATCTACGTTACCACTGTTTATCAAATTATAACTAAAACAGTTTAACTGTGACATACGTGAGCTTATGTTGATGGGATGATTGCTTCATCTATGATATAATATGATATGATTCTTTATTTCCTCCAATTTGGAGAGCCAACATGTAAAAACGTCTAATTGACTTCATTAGAGAGGCCGTTTAGTTACACGTTTAATGGAAATCTTGCACGACGCACATGTAGAATTATTGCTCTCATTGGATTCCTTCTCTCCGACTGAGTAAAAAGGTAAACAAAAGTGATAAGATTTAGGGCCCAAAAAGGTAAATTGATAGGGGCACAGTTATCCCAGATATCCCGGGCCCTCGGGAAATATCATATTGTCTCTCGGAATAAAACCAATATTGAATCCCTCTCAGTAAATAACCGTTATATAATAGCATTGTATAACTGCAATATCATTAAACCAACACTCATCCTATACAACTCTTGAGAACGATGTACGACTCCTGGATAGCGTAAACTCCTGAGCAGCGTATACAACTCTTCAACTTGATATATGACATCATACTTTGGGTGGGATAATATACAATATACAATTGTAGACCTCTCTTGAGGTCAACTGGCAAAATTGTATACCGATACTGTAATCCTTGAAAGTTCGGAGGTCGAGGTCAACAGTACTCTCAGGGTTTACTGTTGAGGTATACACTTTGGCCAGTTGACCGAATAGAGAGGTTAACAATTGTTTGTTAGTCCGAAGAATATAATAATTTGAAGGATATAATATACAATTGTAGACCTCTCTTAAGGTCAACTGGCAAAATTGTATACCGATACTGTAAACCTTGAGTACTGTTGATCACTGTACATTGATAGATGGCAGCAAAACAGTTAGTAAACGTAAACAAAGGCTCCGGCAAAAATGTCGGTTTTTAATGGCAAATAGCCTGCTATTTAAGTTCAAAGTGTACAGTCTGATACATAAATGCATATGGATGAACAACCAATGGATATATCGAAAAAATAATACTGGACAATCGTTATTTGATGAGAAACTCACATCGTGATTTTTGAACCACCCAAGATGGCGACTTTTGATGGGAATGCAGCCTGTCTTGTTGACATGAACGATTTGGACATTTGTGTATTTCGCCTGCTGACAAGCGTGGAATGTAAGCCAAGGCACGAGGTAACTGAACAATAAGTTATTGATATTGATGAAAGTTTATTGTCTGAAAGTAGAAATATACTGTTCGAGATGGCAAAAAGTAAATTTGCAAACCAATGCAGAGAAGAATTCGGTCCAATATCTGCCCGTGGATACGAACAATTGGAAGATGTGAAATTAAAGAAAAGGAATGGTGAAAAGAAAGGTTTGAGCCTCGCAAACGATATATACGAACTATATACGTATCAAGCGGATCTAATAGACTCCTTTCCTAAAAGCGTATCTTCACCCACAAGTCACATACCAGTACTGAGGAAACGTGGTAATCAACCCCCGACGGCTACCCAAATGGATATTTCGGTAAAACTGGTGGAATTGACCCAACAGATGACTGAAATACGCACAGAACTAACACAGGTAAAGTCAGATTATGAGAGTGATGTAAATAGACTCAATAGAATGATCAACACGTTGAAAATTGAGTTAGGACAGCACACGTGTAATGTTATTAGCCCAAAGTTCTCCAAGCCGGACAATGCTAGTTCTAGTTCTTCACTGCCAATTAGCAATAAATCATATGAGAGTATTCCTAGCAACAAAGGGGCCAACTCTCAACCAGAAACATCGCAATTAGCAGTCAACTCTCAATCAAAAACATTGCAAACAACACCTACGACCCCGACAAATGTAAACAAGGATAACCGCAAATCAGCTGTTCTGAGTGACCCCAATGCACCTAAGAAAAACAATAACATTCCTAAACCCAATGGTGATAATCGAGACGCTCAACCCCCGTTTTTCCGAATGGATAATAATCATGAAACAGCCGATTCTAAAAATAACCATGCAACGGACATTCCCTACGTAGACATCACGGATCACCGCAAGGATGATAACGATTTCACGGTGGTTCGAGGAAGAAAACGATCTCAACGGAAAGGCCAAGAAATAGATGAACGTTTTGGCGAGAAAAGGCGCGAGAACCTTGAAACTCTAGGCTCAGTTAAACGACCTCAATCAGCAAAGAACACTATAAACGGCCGCGGCAAACTTAATAGAAATGCTCGAGGTCTAAAAGGTGTCGCATATGAAAAAGCCCAAACTTTATATCTTGAGAGCATCGAAGTAGAAGCCGATGATAGTGATGATGATATCGAGAATCTAGTGAAGGAACATGTGAAATATCTCGGCATACGCATTATGAAATTATATGTCGTTCGTAACCGTTACTCGGAGTACAGAGTAGGTGTAAAACTGATTGTGCCCGAAACATCAGTAGCCAAAGCAATTGACCCAGATGTGTGGCCGCATCCAATCACATGCCGTAGATGGGAGCGCAGATCGAATTCTTATGGACGAAGAATTCAAAGTCACGTCACATATAGATCCAGACAGCGACAGATAGATGAAGACGATTTCCCTCCTTACGACAATGAATCGAATGACGGAAATGACTCTGATTTCCACAAAAACCTATGCGAAGCAACAAGAGACTATGTTAACAGAAACTTCAACCTGAGAGCAACAGGTTACAATCAGCGGTAGATCAGATCTTATCGTTAAGTTAACTTTTTAAGAATGACAACATTTATGCTTCTTTTAACTGGTCTTTTCCTCCTTACCGCAA